GATAAATTTTTTGAATTTTTATCTCTGTTCCAATTATTTGGATATCCTGTCAATTTGTCTTTTTTTTCGTGATCGTGTGGAATCGCGGGGGAAAAAGCAGAACGGGAAGGGTACTAAAATTGAAGGGAAGAACTTATTTTTGGTACTTCCATCAACCAAAGCTTTTTGGCATTTCTGCCAAAAATGGCATTTTTGTATTTTGGCATTTCTGATTGCCTTCCAAATCCCCTTTGGTCGGAGGATTATTTCAAATGGAATTACCTTGAAATAAATCATTGCAGATTCCTATAATTACCCGTTTCAAAATGCAGTTGATGTTAGGCGTACGGAAAATGATATTGCGAAAAACGACAGTGCTCCCACAAGTATACCATTTTTTGACTTTTTTTTTTAACAAAATCATCTGGGTTATTTTGGCCGTATAACGGTGAATATTTTCTAATTATTAAATCAGTATTTCTTATTTATTTTTTTGATATTAAAAAATATATCCGTGTTTGTTTGTATTTTTTATGATACGAATATTTTTGATTTTTTTTTTTAAATAAAATCTTTGCCTGGGTCATTTTGACCGGGTAAAGGCAAATATTTCATGCGTATTAAATCAGCATTTCTTATTTATTTATTTTTTTTGATATTAAAACATACATTCGTTTTTGTTTTGTGTTATTTATGATACGAATATTTTTGATTTTTTTATAAAATCTTCATAAAGGTAAATATTTTCTACTTATTAAATCAGTATTTCTTATTTATTTTTTTGATATTAAAATATATATTCGTGTTTGTTTGTGTTATTTGTGACACTAATATTTTTGATTTTTTTTAAATAAAGTTTTTTCTTGGGTTATTTTGATGCTGTGGAGCTGAGTGTTTTATACTTATTAAATCATTGTTTTTTTTTATTAACTTTTTGATTTTAAACACTTATCCTTCTTTATTCGTGTTATTTATGGGGCTGTTATTTTTGTTTTTTGTTTTTTTTTTTTAACAAAATCTTTATCTAAGTCATTTTGACCTGGCAAAGGTTAATATTTTATACTTATTAAATCAATATTTCTTATCTGTTTTTTGATTTTAAGATATACATTCGTATTTGTTTGTGTTATTTATGATACTTATTTGTGATTTTAAAACTACGAAATGCACAATAACAGTTCTTTTTCCCATTGAACCAGCTAGCGATTTTGTCCTGCAATAGATTGAGGGTTTGATTTCACTGATGGAACCACTA